AGAAGGGAACAGGATAAGAACTAAAACTCAGCAACAAAACCAACCCAATTAGCAAATGGGCAAAGGACGCGAACAGACTTTCCAAGAGTAGACAAATGGCCAATAAGCACAGAAGATGCTCACCATCAGTAGTCCTTCAGGAAATGCAAATCAAAGCCACAATGAGATAATTGCTTTATACCTACTAGGCTGGCAAGGAAGGGAGGAAGGAAGGAAGGAAGAAGGGAGGGAGGGAGGGAAGAGAGAACGAGCAAGTGTTGGCACGGGTGCAGAGACACTGAAAGGCTCACACGCGGCTGGGAGGAACGCCCAGTGGTGAAGACAGTGCAGAGAAGGGTGTGGCAGCTTCTCAAAAAACAAAACGCAGAATGACCATGTGACCCAGCAAGTCCACTTCTAGGTTTATACACAAAAGAACTGAAACAGGGACTTGAACAGACACTCATACGCTAGTGTTCCCTGCAGCATTACTCACAATAGCCCAAAGGTGGAAATGACCCACCTGTCAACCAATGGGGAAAGAGGTAAATACAATACGAGATAACCGTACGGTGGAGGATTATTCAGCCTGAAAAGAGGAATGGAGCTCTGACACATGGTCCAGCCTGGATGAACCTTGGAGACATTATGCTACAAGAAATCAGCCAGACACAAGGGTGCAAATAGCATATGATTCTATTTATATGAAATGGATCATCGAGGCAAATTCATAGAGAAAGAACATAGATTAGAGGTTACCAGGGGCTGGGAGGAGGGGAAAATGGGGAGTCGCTGCTTACTGTTTACAGGATTGGGGTGATGACAAAGTGTTGGCTACAGATAGGGTTATAGTTATACAATACTGTAAATGTAATTAATGCCACTGAGCCGAACACTTAAAAATGGCTAAATGGCAAATTTGAGGTGAAATATATTTTACCGCCCCCAAAATTCGAAAGAAGAGGGGAGCCCAGGATTGGAAATTAGGGGTAGGAAGAGCCTTGTGACATGAGGCAGAAAGCTTCCAGGCTGTCGCTGCGGTTCTATGGAAAGCGGAACACGTCAGTGTGAAGTGAGTTACGTGGCCAAGGACACTTCCAGGCAAAGTGCTGCCCAGTGTCTTCTTGCTGCTTATGGTAAAATGTATGAAGAAAGAAAAAACATTGCAGGAAGGAATAACAAACAGGAGGGAGCAGGATGGACCATGGAAATTCTGAGTCTCTCCTGATGGCAAATACGCTACAATTAATAAATAGCTTCTGAGCATTGTCAGAGTTGGCAGAGAGTAAAAAACCGAAGGTATGAGGGCACAACCTTTTGTTAAAACCTCAGAAAGACCAAAGATCAGAGTAGTTTCAGTTACACAAAGGGTGCTCGCAGGAGGTCAGGAGCAAGGGTGTGCCTCCCAGATGGTCTCCGTCACAAGCCAGCCACAGGGTGTGGCCCCTCAGCCCTCAGGAGGATTCCCGGCTGGAGAAGGGCTATCTCAAAAAAGATCTGTGGGTGTGGATTTGTTTACTAGAGTAAACCTCCAGGAAATCCACAGAAGACCCATAAAGTTTATTTCAGCCAAAATACCAGCTTGCACTGAAATGTACGGAAAAAGTACAAATGGAATGAGGCTGCTAGAATCCAGACTTCTACTGGCAGGAAACAGGTTGGTACAACTACCCAGCCGCAAGCACATGCTAACTTCCGTGAAAAAGGAAAGCTGATTCAGGAAGCAGAAATGAGAGCCCAGAAGGCAGAGCCAAGAACCATGCAGAATTATGCACAGGCCTTGAAACTTAATCGAGCAACTCCCAACACTTGTCTGGCTAGATTTCAGAATTTCTGTGGAGCAGTGATTCCTCTATACTTTCCACCCCCCCTCCCCCATTTGAACAGAAATGTCTGTAGCTGTTACCCTTTGCCTCGCCCACCGTCATATACTGGGTGTATTGGTGGTGGATACCTTGACTCTGATTTTAGAGGCTGACCGACTGAGAGGAACAACACCCAGAAAGCCTCATTCATATCTGAGCCTGATTTAAACAATAAAATTCTGGAATCTGGGGAGATGATTTAATGGTATGAAACTTCTGGGGACCTTGGGAATAGGTGAAATACATTTTGCATAGGGAAGGGACACGAATGACCGAGGGACATATAATTGTGGCAGATACTCCAAGGTGACCCCAATGATCCTTGCCTCCCGGTATTCATGCCCTGCGTAATGTCCCCCTCTTGAGTGTAGGCAGGGTCTGTGACCTCTAACCAACAGAGCATGGCAAGGTGATGGCATGTAACTTTGCAACTGCACTATACAAAAGCATACTGCCCATCCTGGGAGGAGACTTTCTTCCTTGCTAGATTTAAGGAAGAAAGTGACTGTGTTGGGAAAGCTCGTTTGTCAAGAAACGGAAGTTCTCAATTTGACGGTCCATAAGGGACTAAATGCTGACAACCACAACCCCATGATCTCACAAGCAGGTCTTTCCCCAGTCAATGCCCAGATGAGACCACAGCTCTGGCTGAGCAGAGAACCAAGGGAAGTCATAGTGAAACTCCTCATCCACTAAGACGGTGAAATAATAAATGCATGTTGTTTTACGCCATGAAGTTTCTGAGCTATGGTTACAGAGGAAGAGAACACGAATACAGATAATGACACTTGCATTTTGATAGTATTTACAAAGAGGTCCATTGTTTCATCCTTGTTAGTGGCCTCTTCGGGAATCAGTGCTTCTACCGGGTCCTTGGTACTCAAGAACATCATTTGCCAGTAAATTTTAGAACAGAAGAACAGTGTACACATCCTCTAAAGTGCATGTAAAAGATAAGTTAGATCTTCTTTATCCGGTCCTTCAGAAAAAACGATGTGATACTTCTGAGATTTTTGCTGCCATAAAACTCCCATTGAATTACTCCACATCCTGGGCATTTGGATCCAAATGAAGTCACTAACTATCATCCTGGCCTTAACTTAGGGACTTTATTGGGGTAATCAATTTATTCACTGGAGGCCACTCGGGAGCTCTTTGGGGTTGATGGTGTTTAGAGCAAATGGGTGCGATGGCATTACTGTGTACCTGTCTAGTCATCATTCTTCTGTGCCTCCCCACGGAGGCCAGAATCTCCTCGAATCTTGAGTTTAGTTCTCAAACATCTAAGGGATGGTGTTCCCTTACATTACGCAGGTGGAGACAGCTCCCACCTAACAGAACAAAGAAAGCTCAGAACTGTTTGCTTGTGAAGACCAAGAAACAGATATTATGTACTGGTTTTTTCTAGATTTCATTAACCTTTTGATATCCTGATAACCCACTAGAAAGGCTATTCAATGGGGAAGCTTCAATTGTATAAAAATCTTACAGAGTCCCTATTCTTACCATCCATGCATTTGTTATATACATTCAAAGATTCCTCTATTAACAAAATATGTATCTTGTCCAAATGAGAATGTTTTTTTTTCTGTAAAAAGGGAACATTTTAAGTGTAAGTCCCCCAAACACGCTAGCCATCCTGATTTTTCCCTGAAAAGGTAGTAGCTTTACAAACAATCCCAAGCGCATACAGAATGTACGTATCTGCTGGCTGCAGTGCTAAATAGCATCTTCCTTCCCGTGCGCTCAGCTTAAGAAAGGGGCTAACAGGCGTTAGATTTGCAGAGGTGCTGGGTCTGTAGGGCAGCGTCACACTGATGAAGGTGACTTTCCCTGAATGGGCTGTATTATGTGACAATGCACAGAATTTTAAAACCTACAAACAATTTTAAATCTTACAAAGTTTAGAAAGAGCAGGGAGACAATTTGCCCATAATCGGCCTTCCCATTTCTCAGCTGGTATTGGATTGGAAATGATAGACTTCCACAAGACTGTCTTGGGGGACTACTTCAAAAATGACCAACCTTGCTTTGTAAAAATCATTTTTCATTTTCCTCTGAGACAAAAGGAATGAAATCTTAATTGGCAATTTAGGAACACAGGGAAGAAAGAAAGGAATGATTCTCCCAGGTTGTTTTGAGGTCGTAATAAATGCCTAGCAGGGAATTATCTGTAGAGTAAAGCTGTTGGTTTTGTCCATATAAATATTGATCACATAGCAAATAACTGCATACGGTATTTTTATAAGAGGCTCTCACTGAACCCATATGACCAGACACAATCTTTACTACATTTTAACTAAAAGGCGCAGAAAGACATTTTGTTTCACATGGATTGATACATTTCTATTAGTATAGCAGAATAAAAATCCTGAGTGATGTGAAATTCACCTGCTTGGATTTTCTCCCAACAATCATAAACTAGAATGTACTTTACATATGCAAGAAAGAGCCAACTATCACCAGCTGTGGATTTTATGATGCCAAAGCCAAATGTCCGATTCTATGAAAAGCAACAAACTGTTCAACTCGAGACTGGACAGAACCAACCCCCCACCCCACCCCAGGAGCTGAAAGCTTACAGTACAAGTGGAACACGATGCCCCTTTGGGTTCTACTGCAGCTTCCCTGAGGGTAGGAGTTAATAGAGGAGTGTGTGGTTATAAATACACCCAGACTCTGTGTTCTCACCTTGCTCCAGCTGCTTGATTTAATTCTGATGGAAAACTCTACTTCATCCGACTACTACCATCGGGGACGCAGGGCCGCCTTAGGTCCTACTTGGAACTGCAGCTTTTGAGACCCGGTCTAGTTGAATTCTAACTAGAACAAATTTTCTCCAGCTGACTCCCCTTCCGAGTCCCCAGGGAGCCCAGCACAGAGGTGCCCACTGTCCCTGCATCTCTGCTCCCTTGGGAACTGCTCAGCTAGCCAACATTTCGGGCACTGCTGTGGCTGGTGCAGAGATGTTGTCAACACGAGGCTCTGATCAAAATTAAAGGATGTCAGGAAAAGAACAGGACGATTTGGCTCAACAGAAAAGGATGCCACAGATAAGCTAAGCGACATCCCAAACTAAACCCGCAGAGACCCCGGGCCGCGCTGGAATGGCAGGAAGCGTGAGGATGGAGGTGCCGGGGGCAGAGCGGCGCCTACCTTTCCTCGCGGTTCTGTCCCACGCACACCCGGCCCCCGTGCCGGGGAGTGGGGTTGCTGCAGGACCGCTGGCGCACCTGGAAGCCGATCCCACAGGTGGTGCTGCAGGGAGACCATGAGGTCCAGGGGGTCCAGCCTCCGTTCCTGGGGAGAGAAAGCAGCGGGGTCACTAAATCACGCTGGCTCAGAGTCCACCCCTGTGTGCACCCACCTCCGATGACCTTCATGTGTCCCGCGTGTGGACTGCCGGACTGTGGCCTGGGAAGGGAAAGGGAACCGGAACCATAGGACAGGACTGGACGTGCTGTGTCACGGGACTCTCGGTTTCGGTGAGATCCTGCTCCTGGCTATCTGATTTTAGAGTCCAGATTGGGCCTTGGAGAGTAGCGCTTAAAGTGCACTAAAAATAAGATATAATAATTTGCTCTATATCCAGGTATCAACAATAATTTGAATATATAATTTCTATAATAATTTCAGTAATCTGTATAATAATTGAATATGTAATTTCTATAATAATTTCAGGAAATTCCTCTGAGAAAATTCTATATTAGAAACTATTAAAAAATTTGGTTATGAAAATGTTAAACTAATGAAAAATAAGTTTATTTCGTTAAAAAGCAATTAGAGATAAATCCCTGAGCCTCTAGAGTTTATGATTTGACTTGTACTATATCATTTCGAATCTATAAAAAGTGCACATCTGAACAAAATAGCATCTAAAACTACCTATAATGCTCACTTTTAAAATCTATTAATATCAACAAAAATCAGTAATTCTCTTAATAGGTTTCATATTCATAAAGAGCATCATAATGTCCAAAGCTTTAAAACAAGCTTTATTAAAAATGAAGGAAGGGTACTTTAAATTCAGATTCTTGGCTATTTTCTTACAGTTTGACAAAGATATAGAATATAAACAAGCGGGCGCCTGGGTGGCTCAGTTAGTTAAGCGACTGCCTTCGGCTCAGGTCATGGTCCCGGAGTCCTGGGATCGAGTCCCACATCGGGCTCCTGGCTCAGCGGGGAGCCTGCTTCTCCCTCTGACCCTCTCCCCTCTCATGCTGTTTCTCTCTCTCTCAAATAAATAAATAAATAAATAAATAAATCTTTAAAAAAAAGAATATAAACAAGCAGTACAAACTGCACATAACTGTATTTATGTTATTAATAAATATGATAGGCATATAAAACATAAAATTAAAATAAAATAAACAGCTTGTATAAAAGTGGTTTATAAACTGAACCACCACTGACAGCTAGAGGAATTTTTTTTTGTTGTTTAATATTGTACTTTTCCCTTGAAATGCCTGTATTCAGAATGTTTATAATTTAAATATCTTCCTTAGTAGTTAGTCCCTGCTATTAAAAAACAAACTGTAAGCATTTTTAAAAATTTTAACTGTCAAAATATCTGTTAAATCCAGAATCCAAACTCCTATGTGAGCAGTCTACTGCAGCTGGGGTATGTTTATATTTCACAGATCACATATGCATTTCTATAGTATGTTAGTCTCATAGGATTTTCATTTCCACTGGGAAAAATCAACTGACATTAATTCTTATTTTTACTTTATACATTCCCTTAAAAATATGCAGGTCCCAACTGTGCCACTGAAGCTCAAGGTATAAATAATAATTTGAATTTTTTTTTTTT